GGGGGGCATCGAATCATGCACTTTTAAAATAAAAAAAATTAAAAATGTAATTATCTCTAATCTAAATTTAATGCTGTAAGGTATTTCTGATGCATGGAGAAATGAATTTTGGGAGGAGGGAACTTTTTGTTTGAAATAAGGGACCCATCAATCAGCTACAATTTGAGTGTTTGAGTTATAGAAAGCTTCTGCAAGAGAGGAAGTAATGAAATGACATCACTCCAAATATTGCTAGAATAGGACGCTGATGGACGTGGCAAGGTGTTTGTTGATCCACTCAGGGCTGCCCTCCTCTCTCTGGGCTGAGGCGGTGAACACGGCAAATTCCATCCGCAACCGATGCCTCTCGCGTAAACTAAACGGGAGGACACCCTATGAACTCGGTTCGGAAGAGCACCAGATATATCCAACTTCAAGCGATTTGTCAGTGAAGTCTTCGTCATGGGCAGGTCACCCGGAAGAGGTAAGCTCGAGCCGCGCTCCAGAAGGGCTTCTTTGTGGGTTACGGTGCAGAGACCAAGGGCTACCAAGTGAGGGGAAGGTCGAGGTGGCCAGAGACGTCAAGTTCGTGTCACAGTCGCTGACGGAATCCAGCACCAAGTCTGAAAACTTCCGACCGGAGGAGCTCCATGATGAAAAGGTTCCAGGACTGCTGGGAAGGGATGAGGGGAAGGTCGATGCAAGCCCTTTCATAGAGTTGAACCTCGGCCAGGATCCTCCTGCATGCCCGGGTCGGGACAGCAGAGATAGGGAGGCAGTAGAGGAAGAGTTAGACAGCGAGGATATCCGAGGTTTCGCGCCAGTCAGAGGGTGAAGATTTTCGCGGATTCGCGCCGGAGAAGCCAGACACTGTGATCAAGTGGCTACCCGGAAGACCTCGCAAGATCTACACAGGACAGCCAGGAAGACCTCGCTTGGACCGTCCGGAGGGCAGGCGTGAAGGCCAGCGCGTAGAAGAGCGGGCTGGGGTTGCGAACTCAACTGAAGTCTCGGTCAGGCAAGCTCTTTCTGGTGAGGACTCTCAGAAATGGTTAGAGGCTGTGGCGAGCGAGGTAAAGTCCATACTAGAGAAGAAAACCTGGGAGATGGCGCCAAGACCGGAAAACAGGGGTGTGGTAGGGAGCAGATTCGTTCTGAGGAACAAGTATGGAAGGAATGGAGTGTTAGAGAGGCGAAAGGCAAGGATTGTGGCGAAAGGGTATTCCCAACGGTGTGGAAAGGATTATCACGAGACCTTCGCCCCGATCGCTCGGCTGGACTCCATTCGCCTGACGATCGGCCTAGCGGCACGAAGTGGCATGCAAATCCGACAATTTGATGTGGCCCCTGCGTACCTCAATGGGACTGTACACGAGGATGTGCTCATAGGGGTCCTCAACGAAATGAGCTATGCTCTGGAATTTATTGTCGCCTATGAGAATCAGAATCACCTGGTTAATGAGGCCAAGACACTACTAAGGGAACTGTCAACTGGCGGGAAGGTCTGTCAAATGAAGAAGGCCCTATTCGGCTTGAAACAGGCCTGTACGGGCCAGACGAGCTTGGCACAAGCGACTCGACAAGGAGCTAAGGACCCTGGGAGCAGTTCCTTCCACAGGAGACGTGTGTGTACCTTAAGGATGTTAGTGACGACACAATGTTCATCGTGATTTATGTTGATGACATTCTGGTGATGTGTCGAAAGTCCGAGACGATAGATACTTTCGGAAGTGATCTGGGAAGACTCTTTGAGGTGAAGGACCTGGGGAATCATAAGCGCTGCTTGGGGATAGTCTTCAAAGTGAGTGAAGGGTCCATCTTCATTAATCAAAGGGCGTATATAGATAACATCTTGCATAGATTCAAGATGTGTGAGTGCCATCCTGTTTCCACGCCCTTTGCACCTGGCTCAAACCTCTCCAAGGCTGATGTGTGGGCGACAGGCCGCCATATCGTGAGCTTGGGGGTGCTAGGGTGTCGGGCCCAGTACAACGACTCATTCGGAAAGTCCCACTGGCAAGCAGCAAAGAGGGTAATGCGTTACCTAAAAGGCACCGTGGACTTGGGAGTCAGATATCAGGTAGGGGATTCTCCCGTTATGGGATATGTAGATGCGGACTACGCTGAGTCGCTAGATGACAGACGCTCATTCACCGGATATGTGTTCACCATGAGCGGTGGACCTGTAACATGGGACTCGAGAAAGCAAAGGACAGTTGCGATTTCCACCACAGAGGCTGCCTAGGAGGCCACAAAATCAGGCAGCTCTCAAGTTCATATTCAATATTTTCCCACATTACGCACTCACTCTTGCCAGGGGTGGAGCCAGCCCATCATTCTTGGAGGGGGATATCATAGATTTATATTAAATAATGAACATGTTATCGTGTATTTTATTTTTGAAGTGTATATACGATACTATACAATATTTTTTAATTAATAACATAATTCTTACATAAATATTTAAATAGATTTTGCCAAATAAGAGAAGGTAACAAACAAAAACCTTAGGACCTTTGAGGAGGGCCATTGAACCCCTTGATTCACCACTGACTCTTGCATTACCAGTCCTTCTTTCTTCACCTAATCATCCAACTTGGGGAAGGGGAAGCAACTTGCCCACGTAAATTTCCTCTTGTAGTAGGGGTTTCTTCCCTCCATTTGTATTTTACATTACAAATGTCTGTCTAAAACATCTTCAAAATAATTTCAAAATTTGCATTTAATAATATTAAGGTGCTCTATTATGTAAATTATTTAAAATTGATTTTTAATACAAGGAAAACAATATCAATTGCATTTTGTTCTATTATAGAGTTTCTCAGAAACATGAGGATGTACGCTTTTGCTACCTTAAGTAATATCAAATTAATTAATTAGGAAGTACCATTTCTTGTGCTCTTCCAGCTTCATACCTTTTTAATTGCATTGAAATTTTAGAAAAGTATATCTTTGATGACTGCTAAAACAATAAATACATTCCGTATTCCTAAAATGTATGTTATCTAAAGTTCAATGTAATGGCTTTTCAAAGCTTCAATAAGATCTCAACAAGTTAATTTAAACACTTGAAATTTTAGAATTTAATTTCAGTGTTATTTTACTCAATGTTCCATTGATTTATGGTTCACCTCTAGCGGAAATCCTCTTCACTGCAAGGATGAAGATAAGACATTACAATATTTGTCATAAGTGTGTACTGCAATGAATGATACTTGATTCATCAAAGTTCAGAAATGTACTGAAGCAACTTAGAATAAAACAATTTTCCCAAGGTGGTGCTTTTTCTTTCTTATTATAATCTAAAAGCATTTTCTAAATTTTGCATATCTTTTATCTCATCATCAAATATTATTATACACTTGTGCCACATTCCTTCTCATGGTGGCTGCCACAATAATAAAGATAATGACAAACCTGGATGAGCAAAATTTAACCAATTATGATTGAGAATCAACTTTTGATGCTCAAAGCCATACAGATCAATTCTATGAGCATCACATTATGCTTCTCACAGCAGCCAACATGTTGAGCCACGTAAACTAAGTAATAAGTTCTATAAGTAAAATTCTATAGAGAATACCTATGCCCTTTATCAGTTTATTTAATACTAAAACCCGTAAAAGTAAGTTTGGAAAAAGGAAAGACACATTTAATGTTGAGAAATAAAGCAGCATTTGCTCAATGGATCAAGGAAAAGTTAACAAGAAACTCAGCCCAAAAGGCTGAAGTAAGGGTAGGCAGACTTTTTTCTGTGTTAGATCACATGAACATCACATATGCGTAAGTGATATTAGAAGCATTGTAGGTGTCATAATAAAATTAAAAAATAGTGTATAATGTAATAAGTAAAAAATTCTGTACTATTAATTTCAGCTAAAAAACTGATTTAAGGGAAATAAAACATTAAACACAGATATGTTAAAAATGTAATCCAAAATATATTATTGTAGTAAAAATACATTTTCCGGTGCACTCTGCATTGTACACAACCAGCTGATTTCACATATAACAAATATTCAACAACAATTTAATGAAGCATTCACAACTATACTCAGTACTTAAAATGAAAATTCAACTAAAAAACATATGATGAAAAAAAGACATGATGATGAAATCAAAAGCATTACATTTTAAAAGAACTTACATATTAATTTGTACCATGTATCATGTTTAGTGTTGCCACACATTTCTGAATGCATTAAAAAAATTAAATACATTTTATCAATTCTTCATATGTGGTTTCCAGATCTTAAGGCAATTCTATTCTTAAATCAGTCTATTTCCAAAGAAAACATCCTAAAACATTTCTAAATACAAGAATCATTATAAGAGAATCTTGCTTAAAGGAGAAAATATTCAGTCCCAGAATCAGTTGTATATAACAATCTTTCACTTTCAAAAGACAAAATCCCAAAATGAAAAATGTTCTATCATCAGGCGTAGTGGTCAGGTGTAAAAGGCTTCGTTAAAGAAACCAGCATTTAAGATAGAAATAATTCAGAACTTTGAAGCAGGCAGCAAGTGTCACTACATTATCAGTAAATACGGTGATGAAAATTAGAAACAAAATCCGGTATCAATATTTACATGTTAGAAAATAGTTAAAATAGTAAAAAAAATGTTTTCCTTACTATCTGCATAGAACATAATAAAAGAATCTTTAATATGTCACACACATCCAACAGCAGCAAAAGTAAACGGTTCACAATTACACTCGATACTTATTTAAAGTTGCAACATGCAACTATATAAAAAAATACTGTTTTATCCCAAGTTATACATATAGGAATAAAATCTATTAGAATTTAAATATTATTGGTTTCATAGAACAAGTTCAGTTCACTAAAAATCAGACACTCGTGAATAGAAAATACCAACTCTTAGCAAATTATCATCCATTAACAACAATATCACATAGTTTGGAATCTTAGTTTGGGTTGTCTTCAAATTAAGTTAAGATGAGGTCAATTTCCTTGTCAATTCCAAAAGTTTTATTTTCTGGGACAAATTTGTTTTATTTCTCGTATTCAAATCTATGTGCAACACAAGTCCAGGATTGCATCATTTTGTCCCAATTTCGGGCAGAATCTTTTACTGATCTCTACTTTGATGATTTCAGTGATTTTATTTTATACTTCAATTCTTTCTTACCTTATGCAGTATTTAATGAAAGATGAAGTTTTTTTTACCATTTAGAAGAAACTATCATGGAAAGTCTCGTAAGCGTGTTAATGCTAGATATAAAATTATTCCCATACCTGAATCAAACATATTTACAATTAAAAAATTAGAATTTCGTTTGATGGAACATCTACAGCAGGAGCACAGACAAACTGCTACACACATGCTGGCAATTCTATTGTCACTGTGGAAACTTTGAAACCGTGTGTTCTAAGTCCTTAAAATAAGGTTTCCATGTCCCCAATGGAACGTGAAAAATGTTTTCCATGCATAATCTACAAAAACTTAAACATCTGGATGTTCTATTATATTTTTGGAGTCTCCCTACTCCATAACACAGTGTGTCAGAAATGTTCAAAGTTAGGTTCCTGTAAGAAGCTATTTTCACTTTTAAAACGATGTTTGGCAACTTCACATAGATACAATTAGCATAGCATAGAGAATAGCATTTGATAGGGATAAAAAACTTAATGTGTATATTATCTTTGTCATACAGCAAAATCAGTTATAATATAAATAATTTGGGAACATCAGTATGCTTTCCCTTGGAATTGACTATAGTGAACCCTTAACCATTCATAATAATAATAACACATTATCAATGAAACGCTACCAAAAAGACTAATTTCAAAATAAAATTTTCAAACTATATGATATCTCTGAAAGAAATGTTCTCCTTTATAAATGAGAGTTCCAAAATTCACAGTTTGTGATTCACACAGGTTAGTATAATCAATACCTTTGCATTTTATGAGTGCAATTAGACATGACTAGGATCTCTTGTAAGTTGTGGAAACCACGCAATGGAGCTTTGAGACAATTACTGATAGTAAATAATATTTAAATAGCTAAGAGCAGAACAATTCAACGTCATATTCGTAATAAAAATCAGCCACATGTTTTTTCCCTCTTTTCTTTCTGTGTCACTGTTTAAATGGGAAAATTTCTAGACAACTGATAGGCACTACTTTAAAAAAAAATGTAAAAGAAATATGACTTTATAATTTCTACATCTTAAAACTGGAAAAGGTTAAATTAAAAAAATAGTAATTTACAAAATGTACAAATTTTCTTAATAAAAATTAAAAAGTTTGGGGGGAAAAAATTGTATTTAGAAGCATAGTTCTTTTAAAAAAAAAGAAGAAAAAAAGAAAAGAAAAGAAAAAAAAAACAACCCTCTCAGGTGTATCAGTAGTAGTCTTCAACATCATCACTCTCTTCATTTTCACTATCATTTTCTGGACCCCGGTATCTTGGTTCAGACTCATAAGCTAAGATTTCTGCATCAGTCAGGTGAGAATTGCCAGACATAAACTCAGCAAATCTGTAAAAAAATATATTTATAGAATTGAACCATATATCAGTTGAATTTCTTGAAGACTATGATTTCTCCCAAGCAAATATAAAATACATTTGATTTCTCTAATTTCTTTCAGAGGCAAAACCAGAAAGACTTTATTTATTTATTTATTCTTTAAAAGTACAGCACTACAAAATTTATTTTATAGAAACCTTATGGGGTCCTTTATTTTGAGAACTGTTCTCCAAGCATCACATTCAGGACTGGAACAGTAACCACGCAATTCCTTCAATGCTTTCTGAGTCTCAATCACTCCCTGTTCATGGTACTCGTCTTCTGAAAGCAACTTTACACGGGGTGGAAATCGACGTTTCCTAAGACATAAGTGCATTATCTTTCATGAGATGGGTATACTGTATCATTCTCTATTATGTTCAATATTTCAAAAAAGTCATACATTTCACTATTTAAACTACTGTTAGTCAGCAGAAAGAGTAAAACTGGCCTGCAACGATTCTGTGAAAGGTCACTGAACAGGTTATTAAACTTAATTTTGGTGTACTTAATTCAGATAGTTGGTGTGCAGCATGCATGTGCAGATGTGTAACATACGTTTTTTGCTCCAATATAGACTGACTTGATCAATTTTATACAAAATCACATGTTTTTGAGATATCCAGAAATAATATAGGGCACAATTAAGAATGTCAATTCAAATCTGCAAGTTTCTGCATTCTGTCAGTGATAATTTACAAAGCAATGAGTTACAAAACATTGTTTTAAATAGTATTCAAATATGAAATTGTGCTTTTTGTCTCAATATCACTTTGTGATGGCTAATACTCAACCAAACATCAGAAGAATAATGGGAAAATTTGAAATATTCAAATCTCTTGTAGAGGGACATTCAAATATACTACTAAATCTGATTCACTACATTAAATTGAACCAAAAGTTAAAATTCATCTTTCATGGATAATTTTTCAAGAACACTGAATATATTGGAAAAGATATCCAATGATGTGCAAGTTTTATCTAAATATAGATTCCGTACATGAATAATAAAAGTTGTTTCAAATAATAATAATAATAATAATAATAATAATAATAAAAGAAAAAAGAAAAAAAGGGAAAAAAAAAGAAAGAAAGAACACAAAAGTTGTTTTTTTGACATACAAATCCTAGCCAGATTTATGACAATCTGGATTCATATTCTTTGTAAATGGGTGAAGGTCTTTAAATTTGAAATATGAACCATTAATCACAACTTATACATTAAAATACCTAGATACATTATACGGGCATTAATTTTGTTTACATGAACCTATAATTTTTAAGTGAACTTGTTTTGCCACTGTCAAAACTGAAATTACACATGACTCATTGCAATAAGTTTTTTTTTTTTCTATGAACAAAAGATATTTTAATAGAAGGTGTTGCTATTAAATTCAGACTCCATACTATTCAGAAACAGTGTTTTCAAATGACCTTTACTTCTATAAAATTGTTACTTGTAATTTCTTAGAACTGTACCACAAAGAATTATTTTTTTAATTTTTTTAAAATTTGGAAATAAAAATTTTGAAATAACTTTAAGTAAAAACAAATATAAAAAAGAAACCAAATATTGATTAAAATATTCTGAAATGTCGAAGTTCTTTCATTACAACAAAAAAATATGTAAAATCAAAGTATTGATTTAAACAAGTTTTAATTCTTATTATTACATACACAATCACAGAAAAGAAGATTTAGGAGATCTGCGGGAAAGAATTTCCTTGATTTTCTCACAGATGGTATCAAAAAGAATTTAATTTATTATACATAGACTAATCTAATAGACACTGTTAAGGCAGGTTGGTAGAACAAAATCACAGCTCACAAGAACTATAGGTCTTTAAGGAATAAGCAGTGTCAAGTTACTGTGAGAATACATTGTACAAAAGGAAATTGGAGGGAACGGGGTTAGTAAATATGAAAACAGTAGTGAACATGAAGTTAGAAAGCCCCAGAATACCCAGTGTAAAATAATCCTATGATTAAATATTTGGAAGACTAACGCATAATGAAACTTATAATTTTCTTTTGACAAGAATGATGCTGACCATCCATTGACTACACTGTTTTTCAAACTCTACGTTAATACTCCTTCATTCCCATGTGATATGTAAAACTTATGTGGTTAGCAAAAATTTATTGTAAAATAATAGAATAACATTAATCTCTTGAGAGAATAGTGAAAAATACTGATAGTAATTTGCAAATGTATAAATTAATAAAATATTAATCTTTTGTAAAATATAATAAAATCAATCTTCCCTAAGGATTCCAAAGACTCATCCTTGACATCACACTGACAGATGTTTGTTTGCCAAACAAACTAATGTAGCAAAATACATTAAATTCAGTTTACAATACAAAATAAAAGTAAATTATCAAGTGTTAAGAAACATTTCCAGAACCAGTTACTATCTTGAAGGAGTACATTCTTTGCTGTATTAATGAATTTATCCTAAAATAACAAAAAAATAATGTTTCTTATGGAATTTTTTTCATCCTAGAAATTTTTAATGGAGAATAAAGTAAAATACATTTTAGTAATTTTTGAATTGCCAAATTAAAAAAAAATTGCTTATATTAGTAACAAACTAAGAGAACAATGTAAGGTTTGGTATACACATAATGAAAAGTATTATATGAAATATAATATACACATATGAAAAGTATTATTATTATTACTGCTCAATAACAATAATTATAATAAGCATTTGTATCAAAATAGTAGTATGCTGCAATCATAGCTATGAATAACAAGAAAAAAAATTCTCATGATAAAATCTTGCAATTGCTTCTTCATAACATTAACAGCTTGATAACAAATGACATAAATTTTTTTTTGTTGCTTTTTGTGTAAAAAATTATTTATGATGTTAAATTTGCTATATTTTTGTTTTTGAACTTATTGCTCATTTGGTTTAAGTAAACAATAATTTTCAAATAAATTTTTTTCTTTAAAAATGATAAATGATTTCAATTTGAAATATATTTTCCAGCCATTCAAAACTAATTCTCAAGATTTAAGAAACACATTGAGATTTTGAAAAGTACAACCAAATTCAACATGATTTATTTGAAGAATTTGTTTTAGTAAGAAAGCAAAAACAACAGCTGTGGAAGTATCACATTCATTTAACTTTTAAACAGTTATACGCTAGTAAAGAGTTGTCTTATATTAAAAGAAAAGTATCTAAATTTCTTTTTTCTAATTAACTTTTATTGCTAATATTTTCAGTACCCATACATTTAGCCATGCATAAAAGAAAACATGCAATACAAGATGACATTATTAAAAGATAGAAAAATTGATTCTAGACATTTAAAAAGAATATGCCACACAAGCTCAAATGCCCAGAGAAATGATGCAGGAAAGTTTGTGCCAATCATGCAATTTGTGCAAGTTTATCCTCTTGTAGAACTACTTTTCTTTCATCTTCAGTATTCATGCTTGCATTAAATTATAGTTGGATGGATATATACAAAAATACTTGAATTCAAAAATGCAAATTCAATAACCACATTGGAATTACATGACAGTCTCACCAAAAGGTTTTCAAATTAGAAATCCACGATGCTGGAAAGAGGTAGATGACCACCAAAACTAAAGAAATGCTAATGGTAGCTTCTTGTAACCAACTGCTAAATAAAATCAAAGCAATTCCAGCCAACTGCAAAGGAAAAGGTGATCATTAATATATGAAATATAACACAACTCAATATGAATGTACATACATCTAAATTTACAATACCTGCAAGGTCCACTTAATTAAATTTCTACTTCTTGGATCGGTAACAGGGCCAAATCGATAGCAAACTCCAAAACTTATAATACCAACACTGGCAATGTATGCCAATACATGAGAGCCATAATGTTCAAATACTGTACGAAAATTTTCCCACATCATCTGAATAAAGTACACAGTGACAGTCCACCCTCCTATTAATACACTGTACATAAGAGGTTTCTGCAACAAGGGGGAATTTCCAAAATTCAAACATAGCTACAAATTTCTATTTCAATACCACACAATTAATTTTAAGTATTAAATGCAAATTAATTACTTGAGGCAAGAGCTTGCTGAAGAAATATATTAGAATCAAAACACTTGCACATATTCCTACAGTAACACCACACAAGTAATAGAATATAGGATTTTTGCTTAATTTTGGAGCTGCTAAAAATAAAACTACTCCACCTGCGACCATCAGAACCCGCCAAAAATCTATTCCTGAAACAAATTAATACACAAAATTCAAATTAATTTACAGCAAATCAGAAACCTGATGCCTAAACAAAGTTTATTCCACAAATTACACATCCAGAATCCATTCAAATTATATTAAAAATATTGCATTACATTATAGCATGGTGATTTACATACGTATAATGAGAAGTTCTATCTTGAAAGGATATCTCCGATAACTGTGAATCCCAATACAACTCTGATTGAAAGGATTGATACGAATAATGTCAGATTTTGAAGCAAAATTTAGTATACTCCATGAATTTTGATGTGCATCATAGGCAACAATTACATCATCAAGGGTGGCACCAATATAGTAATCAAAATTTTCAACATCCATATGAATTTTCACCTTTAAAACAAAACATTGAATTCATAACTGTTTACACAATAATACAAAGGTATAATATTCATACTTGGATACTACTATATACTTACTATTACTGTTTCCCACACTCGCACTAGACTTTTCATCCGACCAAGAAAACAAAACAACTCAAGATCGCTAGGAGTATTTCTTTTTAAGGCCATTCCCGGTTGTAAATACACAACTGCAATATAAAACTCGGTAAGAACAAGAGGTTATGAACTACCTTCCACAAATGTGCCGGTCAATTAAGGGAAAATTATTAAAGGTATGGAAATAGCGCAAACACAGTCTATTTATCACCTTACCATTTCCCTTTCTACTATCAATTTTTTCAGCTAAAATTGTGGATGAAGATGTACAAAAAACACAAAGTAATACGATATGTACACACAACCTATTCATGATGTCCGCCATTTTCACCATTTTGATCTTGTTACCAACCAACGAATTTAAAATAAATGTGCCAGGTGTGTCAGGCAAAGATTGCTACCATAGAATAAATAAGTTAATATACAAAAAGCTGTGTTTGATTCGCATTTTCGATATTAACAGGACTAGAGATGTCCACAATTACTTTACAATGTTTGGCGGGAAAGTGTTGGGTGGCAACCTCTGCTGTGGGCGATTCCTACAGAATTACTAAGTTATTAATTATTATTAATAATCAATTAAGTTCTTGGCTGATTTATGCGATTGCTGAGGTGTGTGTATCTTATCACATCTATTATTTACAATGACATTTGCTTTCTTTCGGTTTACTTAGGTTCTGGCTGGATTTTAACAAAACACTATTTCATCAATACTCTACCTTATGTGTGTGTGTGTGTGTGTATATATATATATATATATATATATATATATATATATATATATATATATATATATATATATATATATATATACCAAAAAAGTGTTTTTTCTTCAAAACGTTCGTCCGTCTCTCTGTCCGTTGGTGAACACCAATAGCCCCTAAACCATAAGTAGGTTTTTTCCACCGCCACTTCTAGCAAAAACTATGCTACAACAGTACATACTTTATCGCGATATTGTTAATGGCAATGTAATATTATATAACAATTTGTGTCTTACACTTCATCTACCATTTGAAAAATTCTTACACAACGAACCGTGAAAAATACATATACTTTTTTTATATTAAAATGCTTAAACGTAAACAGATTTCTGCCATTGAATTCAGTGTATTCACGTTCTACATAAATGTACCAACGATGCACGATACGTATTTTAGCAGTAAATCAACTTATTAGTTCATAACGCGATCGAACGGCTACCGAAATTATCCTCTTCTGTTACCAGTGCGGCATTACAGTTATGTGTCGCAAAAAGTAACAATGACCGCTAATTCGTATGGGATACACATTTCGCATATTGATACCGCTAGCAAGAAAATGAAAATAAATAGAAAAATATAATACTTGCGGTAATTATAATTTTGTTATTGTGATCATTTATCACACAAAATTTGTGCACAAAGGAACGACAAATTCGGATACAACATATAAACAGAACGACAGCCACAATTGAGGACGGAGGAGCAGAGGTGGATTTACGAATAGGCACAGTAGGCACGTGCCTATGGCGGCAAATTTTCAAAGGCGCAAAATTTTCTTGATATTTTATAAAAAAAATTTAGGTTCTCTAAAAACTATAACAGCATAAATCATATTTTTATTTTAAAAATGATTCAAACGAGATTAAAGCCGCCCCCTCAACCTTTGATTTATAAATTAAGTTTGAATTTCAAATAGGGGCATTTTCAATGTTACAGAATACATGAAAATAATTCGCCAACGACTTCTGCTTAGTTGATTAAGCAGAAAGAATTACATTCTGAGAGTAAGGAGTTTGAATTAGCCAGTCAGAAATCGCTGACGGATTTCGCCATGCATTCATATTGCGCTATATAGAAAGTAGCGACATCTATTACTTCTTGAGTTAAAAGTTCTAAAAGACGGATCTGGAAAAACCCTTTTCTTTCTTTTTTTTACTATTGTGTATCTTTCGTTGTAAGAGCCTGCTGAGTAAAAATGATATTTTGAAGTTATAAAATGAGTGGTTATCGAAAAAGGCTCAGGGGAAGTCAATATGCAAAAATCCGAAAAGAAAAGGAAGAGAAATGTCAAAATGAAATTAATAAGACAAAAAAATTCTTTAAACCTATATGTGAAACTGATCACTGCTGCAGTTCATTCGACAATTCTATTACTGAGTTAGTATAAACATATAGATTAGATAACATATTTAGTTTTTAGCTTGTATATTTTTTCCATGTACTAATAACTTGTGAACAGGGCCGGACTTACCTACAAGCAAAACAAGCAGTTGCTTGGGAGCCCTCCATTTACCAGGGGCCCCGCGTTTCGGAAAAATACGCATACCATATTTTTTTGTCTGTGAAATAATTGTTAATCAAGTAGTCTACTGTGTAACGAAATGTACAATTTCAAAACATTAAAAAATATTTATTATATGTTAAATTAGTCTAATATTAACTATACTTTATTTCCTTTACCTATAACTAAATATGTAAATTTTTTTGTAATTATGTATGTATTTAATGTAAAAAAATGTAACACAAGTAAAAACTTCTATAAAAAATTATCAGTTTTCATTTTAATCTGTACAGAAAGTACTTGTACTATAATATATTTTTTATTAATAAAGATGGAGCTATTTTTTCGGGGGGGGGGG